AACGTTAGGCGTCTTCAACCCAGAGCCTTTGCCGAAGGCCGTGGAGGCTTCTGAGTTTGCTGCTCGGATCTCATCCAAACTCATTGCATGGGATGAGGAGATGGAGTCTGGGGAGGGTCATGGATTTAGGGCATCTTGACGACGGAGTGGTGAAGAACGTTAGGCGTCTTCAACCCAGAGCCTTTGCCGAAGGCCATGGAGGCTTCTGAGTTTGCTGCTCGGATCTCATCCAAACTCATTGCATGGGATGAGGAGATGGAGTCTGGGGAGGGTCATGGATTTAGGGCGGAGGTGGACTGCCAGCCAGGCCTCATCCAACCTCCCCTGCCAAAGCCCCCTCTGTGGGCAGGGCTGCCCACCAGCCTGGCACTACTGCTGGCTTCTGTTTTGCACATGCTAGTGTTTGCAATCAAAAAGTTCAGCGGTCCTTCCAGTGTGCTTAAATTAGTCCCCGTGAAAACCAAATCATTTCATTTGCAGAGAAGGGCTTAATTGCAAGGGGAACGAGGAGAAGGGAATTCTGTTGCCTGTTTTCATTGAAGAAAATTACCATACTTTCTCCTGTCTTCTTACTAAACAGAGAGCTTAGAAAATGGGCTGTAATCACCAGTGCTACCTCCTCTACCCTTTCTTCTGAGAGCTTGTTGCTCAGTCCTTTCCCCATTCCCAGGACTGTTCTTGCTCATCCACCTGGCCTGAGGTGGCTCAGCCCTGGCCCCTTGGTGGGCAGCAGTTTTATGGTTTGCAAAACAGCTCTTCACACCTGGAGCCTCACCATACCCCTGTGATGTTGAGACCATTGCCCTCAACTTCACAGAGGGGCCTCAGTGATGAACTGGACCACACTCTTGGCAGGAAGAAACATCCTGTCTCTGTGGCAGCCACGTGGAGGAGCCCTGCCGAAAACATGGCTCTCGCCAGGCCCTGGTGCTCCCCTGCCCCTGGATGGAGCTGCTCTGGGCCTGCCTCCCCTGCCTCTCCATGGGCTGGTTTATGCAAACCAACACGTGCTCGTTTGCCTGAGTTGTGTGTCTGTTACTTTCAGCTGAAGAATGCTGAGCGCTGCCCAGGCCTGGGAATGCCCGTAGCAGTTGTCTTGTGGGACTCAGACCACCCTGAAACTTATGGTTTCATGGGATGAATTTCATAGAACACCCCCCAACACACACACAAAATTCATGTAAATTTGGTGACACCTAAGTAAGGCCCGTCCCTGAGTTAGGAGTATTGTATGGAGGTCAGTTCCCTGGTTTTGATGGGGCACTACGGTTATGTGGGTTAATGTCCTTGGGGCAAGTTGGGGGAAGAGTTCATGAGAAGCCATAGACGTTACTATCTTTACATCTTCCTGTGAGTAAAGCTATTTCAAATTAAAAAGTTATAATAATACGAAACTTAGTGGCTTAAAACAACCATTGTTTATTTACTTGTGATTCTACAGGTTCGGATCCCATATAGGGATGGCCGGTTGGCTCACTGGGAGGGCGTGGTGCTGACAACACCAAGCCAAGGGTTAAGATCCCCTTACCGGTCATCTTTTAAAAAAAAAAAAAGCAATCTAGTTAAATCTTCTTCAAGCTGTCACTCACTGGGGCTGGTAAGAAGTCCCACTTGGGAGGTCCTCCCCACCAGCGTCTTACACAAGTGTTGGGCTTGTCTGGTTTGGTGCCTGGCAGAGGGAGGGGCCTGGCCCCTGGACCATCTCTACCACGGCTTCTTCTGTTAGATGGGCTGTGGATGGTGCAGGTCCTGAGTGCTCTGCACTGTGTCTCACGTGAGGAAATGCAGCAAACATGCCTGCTCCTGGCGATTTCTCTGGTCACCCTGAGAGCCCACCCCGCCTCAGACAGTCCAGCCTGGTTCTCTCTGTGGTTAGTACAGAGACTGTTTCCCTGGAGTCCTCAAGGGAACACGGGGATATGGGATCCTCAGGGAGACAGCTCACAGGGGGGTGCTCACTGCAAGGCAGTGGGGAGTGTGGCGCCTATGCCAGATCAGAGTGAGTGGTTGTCCTCAAGTCACTCAGATGAAAAAGGAAAAAGATAAAACAAAACCAATTCAGATCTTAGAAACTCAATGTGAGGCTCTCCTCCTCCGTGGATGGAGGTTTCCATTCATCTACTTATTGAACATTTACTGAGTGCCTACTGTGTGCAAGGCACCATTCGAAGTGCTGGCGACATGGCAGTGAATGAGGCAGAGATCGTGCCCTCGAGGAGCTGACTTTGGTGAGGTGGCAGCAAGACGGTTTCCATTCATCTACTTATTGAACATTTACTGAGTGCCTACTGTGTGCAAGGCACCATTCAAAGTGCTGGCGACATGGCAGTGAATGAGGCAGAGATCGTGCCCTCGAGGAGCTGACTTTGGTGAGGTGGCAGCAAGATGACGTGAATGAGTAAAACAAATCGCTTGCCAAGTGTTAGGAGAGAGAGGCGGCCGGGCCATGGCTACAACTTCAGACAGAGAAAAGTGACAATGGAGCAAGACCTGGGAGAGGAGGAGGGAGCCACTGGAGATCAGGGGGATGCACCGCACAGTAGGTGGACATTGAGTGCAAAGGCCTGGAGGCAGGAGCGGGTGTGAGGGCAGGGCAGCAAGGGCTGCGGCCAGCAGGGGAGAGGGCAGAGGAGCCACGGGGTGGGGGTAGGTCGCTGAGCCTGCTAGAGCCTCTGTGGGATCCTGGCTTTTCTTCTGGAATGAAGTTGTTTGATTCTGTTCTGGCAAACCCATAGCAGCACAAGTCTGGGAGCACAAGGCTTCCACCACTTTCCTTTGGAGAGAACGAGACTCCGGAGCCAGACCAGCCGGCTCCACTACTTGCCTCTCCCCCCTATATAAAGGGTTTAGCAATAGCACCTGCACCTTGGCGTTGTCGTGAGGCTTCGGTGAGCTCCGGCTCAGTAGGAGCATGTCCTAATGTTATTGTGTGTTGGCTAATTTTATCATTTCTTTCTTAATAACTCCCCTTGCTACAGGGATAAAGTGACTTGCCCGAGGTCCCCAGCCATGGAAGGGCAGAGCTGGTTCTGTCTTCATCCACTGGGGGCAGTGTTGCCCCTGGGAAACATGGTGGCACCAGGTGGCACGGTGCCCACGGGGTCCACCTCCCCCACTGATCCCTTTGCCTCTTTCATCCCTGGCACATCACGAGACCCTCATGCAGACTCTCTCCTCATCGCTAGAGCTTTCTCTGGGGATGGTGTTGGAGGAGTTGGCCTGGCTGCCCCAGCGAGGACTGTTTTGAAACAGTAGGATGACTTACTGTATAACTGCTCTCCTGCCCCTTCCCTTTGGGGGAGGCCGACAGGATAATGGATTTGCGTCCACACACCTGCCTCAACAAAGGGATTTTTTTTTTTTTTGAGTCTCAAAGTCAATGGTGTATTAATTAAGGGGAACAGCTGCTACTGCAGTTCTTTGGATAAGTCAGTGACAAATGGCCATGTTTACCTTTTTCCTGAGTAAAGACTCCGGAAGGTGGCCTGAAGCTCCTGGGTAGATGTCCATGGCTGAGATTTGTGGGGTACAGCCTGTCCCTCCCTCCTCCCCCACTTCGAGCTTCTTTACCAGTGCCCACTGAGGCCCGAGAGAGCTGTTTGTCACTGAGGAGAGACAGCTCTGTGGCCCGAGGAGCACTTGGAAGGGATTTGGGCAAAGCAGCTGAGGCTTCTCAACAACAGCTTCTGCCCAGATATGCCCTCGGACCCCCTCCTCAGCCAAACCCCACCACCCCGCATAGTCCCTCGTGAAATGAGCTGCTCAAAAGTGAGGCTTGGCCCTTCAAAGCTGTGGTAGGCGGCAAAGCCTGGATCTGCAGTGTCTCCAGCACCGAGTGAGGATGAGCATGCAGCTCGGGGCCTTTGTGCCCAAGTGCTCTGTGTACCATAAAAGAGGGAGCTGGCTGGCAGGGGCCTTTTGTTATTTAGTTTATTTTGATCTCACTCCTGCTCTCCAAACAGCTTCACAGAAATAGAGCCCTGCATTAGCTCCCTTCTCAACTTAAGACAAAACACGGCAGAGGGAAAATCTTTCATTGAAAAACAGAAAAGGGAAAGATGGGCTCATTTTCTTTTCTGAGTTGTGTTTCTGGGTCCTTTGACTATTAATTTACCCACCAAGTTTCCAGCCGATGGGAGAACAGGTTGGTGCTCAGGTGCAAGCCAACACCCACTGGTGGGACTGGTATAGGTGGGAAAAGGGCCACAAGAGGTTGCAGACCCCATGGGGCACAGGAGGGCAGTGCGAGTGGCTGGCCAGCAGCTCAGAGGCTGCTGTCTTTCTGCGGTGACTGACCTTAGGGCCCCTGTAAAAGGAAGGCCTGGTTGGATATTGGGGCCAATCCCAAATGTCTGCAGCTTTCTCCAATTGCCTCTGCCGCCAGTGCTCGTGGACAGCAGTAGGTAGGAAGCAGAAGCACACTCTGCAAACCTCTGTAAAGTCCTGCTGGCCTTTGCATGCGAGGGAACCCCCATATGCCCGCCGGACCACCCAGATGGCCAATGCAGTGGTCTCCCCAGTGGTTGAGGTCCAGAGGAGACAAGAAGTCTGCCTCCTTAAGGGACACTATAAGCTGCTGGGAAACAGCATCCAATCTCACTCTGCTCTTCCTCCTCCTCCCAGGGCTGCTGCTAAGCCCAGGGGAACCTTGGGTCTTGAGGGGAGGCAGAAATGGAGCCAGAACCAGGTGGGTACCATGTGAGTTCCAATCCTCACAGCCAACCTGCAAGGTAGGATCATCACACTGTTACAGATGTGGAAACCCAGGCTCCGAGAGAGGTTATGTAGCCTGCCCAGAGACCTGTCACTAAGCGGCTGAGGCTGGGGCAGGTAGGCCAGACATCCAGAGAAGCCACGGAGCCCCATGTCCTGCTGTGCCCTCTCCCGCCTTCTCTCCTGGCCGACCTCTCCCAGAGCCAGTGCTTAATAACTCTGCACAATGCCATTCCTGAGACAATTGCTTTGGGGGAAAAGGGAAAGAACCATGGAGGAGAAATACATCCATTTTTAATAAATAGTTTATTCATCCAACAGTTTCAACCCTGATACTGAGGCCTGTTGCAGTATTTCTTACTCTTCTGGCTGGAGCCTGATTATGAGAACATGTCCTCACCATGGGGCTGGCGCTCAGATTCCAGCCCCACCGTCCGTCCAGACATCAGAGGAAATGAGAGAGTATTGCTCAAATGAGAGAGACTTGAGCTTTATTAAGGAAACAAAAAATACCAATAAGACCAGAAAGGGGTGGCTAATACCTTCTGGAGGCAGCCGTTGCGTCTGCTGTTTGCTCCCCCTCTCCTGCCTGCCACAGATGAGGACATTTGGGGATGAGACTAGCTGGAGAGGCTTCTCGCACTTAAGTAATAAGGCCCCCCGCCAGGGTGTTTCTGGAGCCTGCCTCCGCCAAAGCGGAGCTGGCGGGAGGGCCCTGGTTTGCGGCAGTGCAGGCACCGCTGCCATGTGGCCAGCAGGGGGCAGTGTGCGGCCGCCGCGCCTGCCCCGCCCCGCCTGCTGGGCGCTGCTGCAGCAGCTGCACAGAAATAAACGCTGTGCTGGAAGTTCTGGTTAAACAGCCCAGGTGGGGAGGCTGTGGTCACAGTAAAGTTGGTGATCTTCGCACAGGGAGCGCGAGGCTCTCAGCTCTGCACAGACTCCTGAGGTCCTCGAGTCGGCATTCTTGGCCTGACACAATGTCGTGGCTGCAGCTCTGGTCTCAAACTGCAACTTCTGTGAGAAGCACCACCACAGAAGGCCCACCCGGGGAGGCTGCCATGGGTGGGGGCCCTGGAGACGGTGCTGCAGGGCAGCTGGACCCTCCCTCTGCTCTCAGCCCCTTTCCCTACCCTGGGTTCCTCCCAGGAGGCTAGGCCAGCAACTCACTCCTGAGTCTAGGGCCTGCTGTTTCTAGACAGTTCCCCTATAGTCACTTGTTTTAATTTCTAGCATCTTCCCTGTTCAGGATAAAAGAGGCCCATCCAGCCAGAGGACAGAGCTCCCCACATCCTTGAGCTCCCAGGTAGCACCCCCTGAAGGCACATGGACCAAGCTGCTTCCCATCCCCTGCTGCCCCAACCTGCCATCCCTGACCCAGCTCCATAGGCACAAGGCCCAGCTCCTAAGCTGGGCTGGCGTGGCCGAGCTCCAGCTGACCCAGCCTCACATTTGTTCTGCAGGGCTTACAGCTGCTGCTCTTTTGTCTTTTCTATTCATGAAATTACAAACCTTTCTCCCTTCTTCTGCCAGCAAAACATGGCAGAGAGGATGGGCCCTTGCCCCTGGCTTCTCCCCTCCACCCTTAAAGGAAGCCCACATTTTCCTAATGAGCTGAGCTCCTCTGAATAGTCTTATAGAGAGAGACCTTCAGACTTGTGTCAGGAGGACAAAAAGTCAAGGCAAATGTGAATTCAGCACCGGTAGGTCTAGTGACCTTCTCGTGCCCCTGGAGTGGACTGTCCTGGGACAGGCTGACTGGGAACAGGCCCCTGCCCAGGGTTTATCGCTCCGAGTCAGAGAAGGAAGAGGGCTTAGTCCATCTCCACACCAGCATATCTTCTCCAGCCACACGGTGGGACTCCGTCTGGATCCGGGATTCATTGGAGGCCAGGAACTCCACGGCTCGGTCCCAGACCCGCTTCATGCGCCTCCTACAACAAGAAGGGCAGGGCTCAGCAGGTGAGTCATGCCCTCAGCAGCTCTGCCTGGCGCCGCTGAGAGATGAGCTGACCTGGTGACACCCTCCCTACAAAGAGGGACACATTTCCAAGCTCCAGTGTGGAATTTATTTAGGGGAGAAAAAGCTGCCAGGTACTAACTTGACAACTGAAGAGAACAGAAATTTCTTGGGCCACAGAGAAATGATTCCTCAACCTTCTGTGCTCCAAAAACATTCAATTAAAGGAACCTGCCAGGGGCCGAAGGTATCTGGAACACCCCCAGATCTCCAAGTGTGACGGGCTGTGCTGGGCTTGCCAACTTACTGGGATCTGTAACCTGTGGCGCCCTTGCCAGCCTAGCCCACCGCCGGGGTCGGCTGCATATTAATGCCTCGTGTAGGCTAATTAGAGAGCGGCCACTGGGCTGTTGAGTCTAAACTCCACAACGCTTCAGGGGATGGGCCGACCTGAGCATCAGACTGGGAGGCAGAGAAGCTGGGGCTGCTCTTGGGAACCAGAGTCACCAGGGAGGGCCCCTTCTGGTGGTCAGAGTCCCTGCTCTGCTGGGTCCCTGGGGCCTTGCATCCCCTTGGGCAGCACTCTCCCCATCTCTTCTTTCAGACTAGACAGAAGGTTCCAAGGCTGTCAGGGAGGGTTGCTTTGAAATTTTCCCTCTGATGAGCCCCAGCCTCACACAGACCTCAGCCTCTTCTCAGAACTGCGGACCACCTCTCCATGATCCCATGCATGGAGAACAAATAGAGGGGGTGGCTGAGTCAGGAGGCAAGGTGGAGGTGTAAGGGCTTTCTTCCCCAGGGGTCAGCCCTGTCACCAACCAAACCCCACAGCCTGTTCAGTAGCCCCCACTTAGCTGATGTGGTGAAGGCCACATGCTCCCTGGGAACTGAGCTCTGAGGACAAGGCAGCGGCAGCCAGCACTGAGCAGAACACTGCTTCACCTGGCCCCTCCTCCCCAGGCTGCCACCAACAGGTAATGAATATGCCAACATGCTCCCTGGGAACTGAGCTCTGAGGACAAGGCAGCGGCAGCCAGCACTGAGCAGAACAGTGCTTCACCTGGCCCCTCCTCCCCAGGCTGCCACCAACAGGTAATGAATATGCCAGCCCAGAGCAGTGCTCCAATCAGCTCCCCTACCTTTCTCTCCTAATAAACACGTTCTTCACATCTCACTCAGTTTTCACAAGCAGGCCCTCAGCTACAGGGCAGATGCGACATTGACCTAATGCATCCTTATAAGCCGCGAGCTGGGCTTGCGCTGACTGGGTGCTCAGGTGATGAGTCAAGAGACTGAACACCAGTAGCGCATGAGCTCCCAGGGTTTCCAACAGGCTCAGACCCTGCACCTGACCCGCCAGGAGCTCAGAGTGGGCGACTCTGGCTACAGGTGAGCTGCATCTCATATTCTTAAGCAAGTGAATGTGTGTGAGATGTCATTTAAGCCCAAGCAACAATGGCTACCCTTGGATGAGTCCTCACGGGCCAGGCACTGACATAGTGAGCTTCGAGGCCACCTCGCTGACATCCATCCCCCCTTCCCTTCGGACTTGTCACTACCTGATATCACATATTTTCCTTGCACATCTTGTCATCTGTCTCTCTCCCTTGAACACATGCTGCAGCCGGGCAGGGATTTGCTTCCTCTACTCCCTGCTGTCTCCCTGCGACCCAGTAGAGTATGTGGCATGTTGTAGGTGCTCAATGGAAGTGGATGAATGAGTGAATGAGTGAATGAATGAACAACAGCCTCTCTTCACCACAGCCCTCTGCAAGAGGTATCACCTCTGTTTTGAGGAAACTGCAGCTCAGAGAGGTTGAGTGAGTTGCTCATGGTCACACAATGACTCCTCCTGGGGCCAGGAATTATGTGGGAGTCTGAGTACACCAAGTGGCCTCCCCTGGGAGCTGGAGGGCTGTGTGACTGCCTCACACTGGAGAACAAGAGCAAGCATGTCTCAGAGCAAGCACAAGACCACACTGCGGTCAGTCTGCTCTAAGCTTCCTGCCTGCCACCTTTCCGGGGGGTGGGTGGGCATGGAAGTTATCTAGCATCTTTCTGTTTAAAATGGACCCATAAATGCTTTACTCTTCTGATTCCTCTTGGGTTGCATGGAAAGGTTGATGTTGACAGTAGAGCCTGGTGGTGGGAGCACAGAATTGCCACTAACCGTGGTACTCTGAGCAAGTTCCTTAACCTCCCTGTGCCTGTTTCCTCATCTGTAAAATGGGGGTACTCACTGTTCTCACCTCCATGGGCTGTTGTGAGATCCAAGTGAATGGCTTTGCACTTGTGGAGAGCTCAGAGCAGTGCCTAGTGCCCAGCGAGCACTCGAGGGGTGAGCTCTTAGCATCAGCTGGCAGATGACAGCATCTGGCCAGACATCATGGCGAGTCTGTTGCGGAGGGCCACCATCTGAGCCAGCACTGTGGTCATCCCTGTGGCTGCCTCTAGGGATTCTGCCCCCCTCCCTACCCTACCCAGGTTTTGTCAGGACCAGAGTGCACAACCCCAGCATCACAGCCCATGGGGAAGCTGCCCCTGCAGTTGTGCAAGACAATGGCCTTCCAGCCCTGTGCCCTGGAAGCTGACCCCACTCACTGCTGTGAAACTTTGCTTTCAATTATATGTACATGCATGTGTGTGTGCATGGGTGTGTGGAAACTGGATCGTGGTCTCATAGGTAATATATTTCTGACTGCGGGTCATATTTAAACAAGTTTGAAAAACAATCTCCTTTTCCTTGCTAGTGATTGATTCACGAATGGACAAGTAACCAATTCTGGCCAATGGAGCCTCAAGGAGTTGCCACTGAAGGATACTGGGAATGTTTCCTCCTGCTCGTAAGAGAGCATCAGGAAGCCCACTTCTCCCCTAAAGGCTGTGAGAAGGCAGATGTTGCTCCAGCTGCCATTGGCCACCACCCTGCAACAACGGACCCCAGCCTGCTGACAACATCCGCAGGAGAGGGCAGGACCACAAGAATCACAGAGAAATGGAACTAGGGACGTGACCATTCTGTGACTGGAGCCCACCCCACTCCAGACTTCCACTTACAGAAGCCCGTCAGACCCTTCACTGCTTTAGCCACTGTGGGAGGGGATTCCTTTACTTGTAACCCAAAGCATCCCAACTGGTTTCAACACTAATCTCTACAGAGGAGCGGGGCGGTGCTTCTGTATGCCTTGTCTAGCTCCTTCTGCCATAAGGAGCCAAGCACACTGGTGGAGCAGCAAGAGGTGAATGCAGCTCCCTCCCTGAGACCCTGGGGACTGATCTGCCTTCAGCTGATGACTGACGACTGCCATCTGCTGGGAGACTCTGGGCTTCCTTCTATGGAGCTCTGTGGGGTCAGGCCTGCTTCACCCCACCCCAGCAAGCCCAGCCTGGGAGGACTCACCGGCTCTGTGGAGGGATCAGGGTGTCGCGCACGTGCAAGATGCCCACATATGGGTAGCGCTCCATGTCCTGCTCCCAGTCCACATAATGGTCCTGGACCACATCTGCAGGAGAGAGCACACTGTTTAGGGGAGGGACCTTCCGGCAGGCTTGGGCAGCCCTTTCACCAGAGGCCACGCACCTATGATCTTCTTCACCATCTCATACATGGCCTGTTCCTCCTCTTCTAACTTCCGCCACCGATATTTCAGGAGAATCAGGAGTCCCCACAAAAAAGCCAAGCCTGTGAGAGAACAAAACTCCGTTAATCCCTCACATCTCCTTCAGACGTCCAGACACTCGGTGGTCTCACTATGGGCAAGATGCTGTGCTGGAGGCTGTGGGTAATCTGCCAAATGTGCTCTGCGTACCTACTGTGTGCCAGGCACAGGGCTAGCATGCAGGAAACAAAGGACGCGGGAGTGCGAAGCGAGGACAGGCTATTAAGTGATCATCTTCTTCCCACTGCTGTCACACAGAGACAGCCCCAGCCATCCAGATCTCCGCTCCTCCCAACCTCGTTCTGGGGCTTTCATCTCCTCCCTTGTGAACCAGAACATAGTGTTTCATACATATATACATGCCGGGGCCCTTTGTATTCTGAGATGCTGCCGCAGATAATGATTTCTATGCCTGATGGCGTGGGGGAGGGAGCTGTGTGCACACTGAGATGGCCTGTGATTTGTTGCTCCGGCTATCTCTGGAGAGCCTGTGGTTTCTGTGACTTGGCCTTTTGCCTTCAGAGACACCCTGAGGTCCTGCTCAAAGGCGGCCCCTGATGTCAGGGAGACAAGACCTGCACTCTCCTTTTCAGCTCAGCATCCTGGGTCCTTCCTGCTTTCATCAGGTATCTGTAGCTCTCCAGGAGATGTTTACATTTCTCAGGGAGTAAAATTAGGCCAAGCCCCCACTGTGCCTCCTGCTCAGAGCTGGTCTGCATAGAGGATCCTGGCAGAGCCGCTGAAGGGGCAATGCCCATTCCTGCCCAGGCTCCCTCTCAGGAAAGCTGACAGTCCCCTGCCCTGAATCAAGGACATTTTCTAGTTAGCCTCACATTCCCACCACCAGTCTCCAAAGGTAAAGACAATCCAGGGCAGAGGCTGACTTGTTCATATCCTCTGTTTTATTAGACAGACCTCAGGTTCACTAGACAGAAATGAACCCTCTGGGCCTGGAATTTCTATACCTCATCACTCATGCCTAGGAGTATGCCTGACTGCTTGCAAGCAGCCCTGACAGCGCGGGGAAGGGGAGGGAAGGGCACTGAACACTTACACCAGAAGAAGATGAGCACGTTGGTGACAGCAGTGAGCAGGGCGCGGCTCAGGCGGCAGCCAACACCCATGCGGGGGTGGGTGGATTCCAGACAGACCACCTTGTCCACAGTGGTAGCCAATTCAGAGGGGTCTTCCCCTTTCAACCTGCAACAGGAAGGACACGGGGCTCTGAACACATTCGAAAGCTCTGACGAACTGCTGTATGAGCCATACTTCGAACAGGAGAAGGGGAAGGAAGGAGCGGCCTAGAGGCCTCTACTTATTTATAGAATAGGCTTGCTATCCGGGTTGTGCTCTTTCCAGAAATTTCCCACATTGGCTACTTAGAAAGAATAAAGCTTAAAAGACAGCAGCAGGCTTGAACCCCTACCGCTAAAGTGACGTCCCCCTCTGTCGGGTCTTTGACAGCCTCTCTCAGCATGCAGAAGATTAAACTGTAAATTGGATTCCCACCTCCCAGCACAGAGAAATGGAAATGTTTACTGAATCACTGGCTTTGCAACTGCGTGGCAAGAACTCAGAGACAGAATCTGGGAGGTTGCGCTTTTCCTCTGTGACGAGGAGGCACATAATCTATTTAAGGAGAAAGATCTTGGGGCATCTGTGAGGCTCACGGGGATTGAAAACCACCAGGCTCTCCATGGCCAGACCCCTGTCACAGCACCTCCACCACAGTCCCTGCGAGGAGGCATCAGGACCTGTGTGGATGCCAACACCCTAGCCTTCTTCCAGCGAGGTGACCTGGGGTGACGATATCATGCTCTTGAAGTTGTGCACTGGAATAGCTGGCATCTGAAGTGTCCCGATTTCTCATGACCCACTTTCAACACTGGTTGTCTGAGCGGGTGCTGCCTTCCCCAGTATGAAAAGGCAAGTACTTGTCACCATTCTTCATGTTAGCAGCTTCAGTGAGTGCCGCTGAGGAAAAAATCCGTATTCTCCTCTGCCTTTCCTATCACAGGAAAATCGTTCAGCCACTCAGGGAGGCTTTTTTTTTTTAAATAAGCCAACAAATTTTAATCGTGCCATGCATCCAATTATCAAGCTTTAGGTTGAGCTGCCCAAGGGGCTTCTGCTGAATGCACTGCTGATGGAATTAGTAATTTGGGTGGATTAGAGAGGAAGAGAACAAAACCCTGCAGTGTGTTTTAATATCAGGAGCTGCAACCTGAACAGAGATCCTGACAAACACTGAGGAGTTGGGAGGGGTTATGTGATGCCTGCTCTTCTTGGGAGGGGGGGGTGGTCTCTCAGGGCTGTCTGGCTGCCGGCTGTGTGCCCCTCCCCCTGGGCTGAGCAGCCACATCGGGCCTTTCAGCTCCGTGAAAGGGCTCGCTATCTCTGTTAACAGTGCTTGCCAGTGATAAAAATGAGGTAGAAACTGCCCGGTCAGAATAAAACCCAGTCTTTCCTTAAGCAATTTCCATGCTGAGGAAAACCAACACATGGAATCATTTCATCTACAAATGAAGACTACCACCCGAGGAGAGGAAGTGCAGAAAAATGCTTTCTCCAGCAAACTATGAGGTGTCGTTGAATTAAAAAGGCACAGATTGAGTTACTTGAGACAGGATTTGCTGGAACATCAGTCTAACATCCTAACACCTGGACTTTGTGTCTCATCTTGATGCTGCTCCTCACACTTCATTCCAAATGCTTTTTCCTTCTATCACCCAGCTTCAAACCTAGCCCACAACTTAGCCGGGACACCCAGCCTCTCACTTTAAACCTAAGATACCTCTGTTGGAGCATGGGAGTCAGTTGACCAGTGAGGACAGTGGCCAGAGGCGCCCAGGGCTGTGCTGCCACCTCGTGATGCTGCGCCCACACTCACCAGATGCCCACATCCTTGTTACTGCTCAGTATCCAGGTCAGTGCGGCTTCAAACTTGGCGGAGGAGCTGCTGGTCACATTCTGTGGGAGGGGGCGGGAGACGATTAGTTCTGTGTCTGGGCGGAGCAGCTGGAACAACATTATTCTGCTGCTGGATTAAGGAAGCCCTCTCCTATGTCCTCTATATGCCCCAAAGCCCCGTTCCGCTAAACATGCAGCAAACTGGCAGGAAGGAAATCTGGGGCCGATGAGGGCCAAGGAAGAGGCAATAACCGGAGGAGCCGATGTGGAAGCACAAGCAGGAAAGCAATGCGGGGCTGAGGCGGCCAAAGGATATAATTCTTTCAAGGACTCAAGCGCTGGGCCAGAGAACTGACAGCTCATCTTGGGGTAAAATGAAAAAGAGCATTGTGGTGGGGGCGGGGGCCCAGTGGCCAGTCCTGCTGTGTAGCCTTAGGCAAGTCCCTGATCCTCTTTAGACCTCAGTTTCCTCATCTGTGAAAATTAAACTAGGTGACCCCTAAGGTCCCTGCCAGCTCCAAAGTTCCATTAATTCTATCCTGAGGCCATGCAAAAATCAGATAGACCCTGAGCAGTCTGAATAGTATGAATTCTAAAGGGAGAGAATGGACAGGGTAAGTATGTACCCTGAAAGCTGTTGAGAAGGGGAGAAAAGCAAACCAAAGGTGGAGCAAGTAACAGGGCCACTTAAGGCAGGGCAGCCGGCAACGGGTGTTAAGCTGGTTAAGGAGCAGAGGGCCAGGCGTGAGCCATCCGCCCACACACAGCAGGCTCAGCTCTGGGCACAATCACCACCATGGCTGCCTTAACTTAAGGTAGCCTATTGCTCCACTAAGTTTAAAGAAAAAGGAAAGCCACAAAGCCACAAAGCAAACACAAAACAAAGAGGGAAAAAAACCCACAGGGCTTGAAAGATCAATAGGAAAGCATCAGGCCCTCCCGGGAATGGATAAGCACCGACGCCTACTTACTGCTATGTATTCCTGGGCTTCCATAACAGGAATGCATTTGCTTTTTAGCTTCTCCGGATTTCCACACTCAAAATTACCTAGGAGAAAAAAAAAAACACATTCAAACACAAAGAAGAGGTGAAAAAAAAATTACTCTAAAATAGACTAAAAAAATGCAGCAAGAATCAAGCCATCAGCTCTAATAAGGAGCATGTGGCCCGGCAGCTCCCAGCTTCTGTGGGGCACCTTCACTCTGCAGCAAGATCAAAAGCCACTTAGCTTGGATCGATTCCAGATCATTAAAACCTGACCTGCAAAGCAGTGCGGCAATTTGCATTAAATGACTAAAAAGCTGCCCAATACCAAGGTCTGTTTGCAATTGATCCCTAAAAGGATCAGACAGATAACTTTGGAAGGTACCAGAACAGCACTATAAATAAACACAGCCTGGGAAGAAAGAAAGGCAGGGAGGCCATGGGCACCACAGGCATTCTGACTCATGACAGGCAGGCGACCTGGAATGCTAGGCCCATTATTTAGAGGGGTCCTGAGGAGAGATGTCCAAGATGGCCCTGTGGTGGAAGAGGGTGTCCGTGTGCTGGGCAGTGGGCTGGCATGCCAAGGACGGAGTAGTGCCACCCCTTAGTACTGCTCAGCCCCCTGGGCCCGGCCAAAGAGCACCTCCTCTGGGAAGCCCATGGCCTGCGGGTACCTCTTATTTGGCCACATTGCTCCAGACTTGATGGCCTGCCACAGTCCTCAGCTCTCAATGGCAGGCTGTGGTTTACTGTCATGCACTGCTTTGTGGGGGTCAACGGGGCTCCCTGAGAGCAGGGATGGTACAGGCCAGGTGCGAACAAGATCCTGAAGACTCCTGTATGGCCTGACTGCTCTCAGCCAGGCAGAGCCTGGAGGCTTGGGATGGCCAATCTCTTTGTGTCTGTGTGCTGGGGGAGGGGTGGCTGAAGGTAATACTAAAAAAAAAACCTGGAGAATGAACTGAATCCTGCCCCCTACCCCCTAACACAGCCAAATCCTCCTACTTCAAAGTTGATCTCTACTCTGTGGATCCCTTGAGAACACATTGGCTTCTAGCATCCTCCTGCCCTCACCGGAACTGTCCCTGCCTTAGCTAGGCCTGACTGGACCACCTCAATGGCCCCCTGATTAGTTTCTGCCTATCCCCTTTTCAATCCATGTTTTGTCAGTAAAGCCTTAAAACGATCTGCTTAAATGACACTGCACCACTCCAGCTGCTGCTGCATTCACCTTCCTGGCACCTGTGAGCATGTCACTCCCTGCTCAAAGCCTTCCTAGCCCCTACTGCCTGCCTGATCAAGCTCCAGTGGCCTGGCATCTGCGGCCCATGGTGGGGTCCAACCGACATTTCCAAACTTCATTCCCTCTTTTTCTCCTTCCCCCATGAACCTGCTGCTTCCCATCCCTGACTTGTAATTTCCTGCCTCTTTGGCCCGCCCCTCCCCCACGTACATATAACCCATCCTACCTGGTCTTCAGGGCTGGCACAGATGCCACCTCCCCTATGACGGTTTCTTGACTGCTCCAGCTAAAAGGCATTGTGCCTCTCAGAACTTCTGGCCTTGCAGTTCTCGGCCAATTGCATCTTACATCATCCAGTGGTCAGAGAGCTGGGTGGCCTGTCTCTTCTACTAGACCACAAGCAGCCTGCGGGCAGGACCCTTGGCTGAGTCATCTCATATCCTGCAGGGGCCAGCACAGTGCCCAGCCCATGGCTAATCCCCAACAGGAGGTGGGGGAAGGGGGTATGGCCTAGTAGATACCCTCCCCTGCAGCCTGTCTCAGTGAGACGTGCCAGGATTGTCAGAGGACAACAGGCCCCAGGGCCCTCGATGGCATAAGCCAGACCACATATGGAGGGTAGGATGGAAGAGAAATATCTACTAGGACCCAGTTTAGAGCAGAGCTTCTCAACTTTAGGGTGTACACAAATCCCCTGGGGATCTTGTTAAGTACAGATTCTGACTCAGTGGGTTTGGGATGAGACCTGAGATTCTGCATTTCCCACAGCTGCCAGGTGATGCTGATGCTATTGGTCCTCGGACCACAATTGAGAAGCAAAGGTTTGAAACACCCTCTTAGGCCAGAATTTATATCCCAAGCACCTGGGCCATATGGAGGAATGCCCATGATGGCTGTGATGCTGTAAACAGAGCCCCAACTCCTGCCTCTCCTCTGAGGGGCTTCCAGATGCTCCCTGACCAGTCTCCCACCATCTCCAGTCTCCTACCATCAGGAGGGAGGAGGTGGCAAAGCTGATGCCCATGAGATTGACCCTAAGGACTGAAGACTGCGGTCCACCTGACCTTGACCTCCTAGTGAAACTTCAGACAGGGCTGAACCCACAAGCCTAAGACCCATCTTCCGAACATCCCTTAAGACTGAAGTGCTCCATCTGGTTCTGGTGCTAAGGATATTTAACACAAGGCACAAGCCTTAGATATTCACCTATGTCAGCAAGTGATTTTCAGAGCCTCCTAGATGCCAGGTGTTGGGGGACACAATAACATAGGTGACATCTCTGGCCTCAAGGAGTTCACTGAATAAAACAGTAGGGGATCCTCCTGAAAGAGTTTCCAGGGGGTGTTTCGTGGGAGTGCTAAGAATGCCTTCCTCTAGAGTACAGCACTTGACTTTCATTTTGTAGAGAAAAGACAGACCTGAGATCACTTGGTCATACAGGGAGATAGAGGCCTTGAGAGGGTCAGGGACTTGTCCATGGTCCCACAGTCAGATGCAGTCATCAGGACTAGATGCAGCACCAGGGCCTACCATGCGGATCACCTGCTACCAACACAGGCGAGAGTCTTCTTCCCTGGCCCAGCCAGCACTGACTCCCAGAAGACCTGGGCCTGGTCCCTTCCAGTGCCAACATGGACCCCCAAAGCATTAGCTGGTGGGTATCCCAGGGAAGGGAGAACATCTGCTGAAAGGCTGTGCATGTGCCAGGACCCCAGAACCCTTAAAGAGGAGCAAGAACCAAATGTGTTTTGCCCAAATGGGAGGCTTAAAACAGCTGTGCCTGTGCGTTTTTTGGGAGACAACCAGGGAGCGTCTCAGCTGCCCACCAGCCAGCCGCAACCCAACTAATCAGAGCAGCAGCCCACACCCCACACAAGGGGAATTTCAGTACTTATGCGACCTACTCACCAGCTTGGATGGCCAGGAAGTTGTACAGTTCATGCAGCAGCTCCAGCAAGGCCGCCTTCTGCTTGGCCTGACAGAACTGAAAAGGCACCGAACTACTGGTCAGTAAGAAGGGTAGGTGGGGTGGAGGGTCTATTTTTACTTCTCAAGTCCCATTGTCAAGTACTAAGCAGCAGAGAACATCTCATACTTTTACAAAAAAGAAACAAATTCTGCAGAGTGCTGGGTCCAGGGAAAGAGTGGATAAATATTGGGTTAACTGAAAAAGACACTGTAGAAGAGGAGGCAGAGCTGTATGCAGACACAGCAGCTAAGGGGCTGCCATCCCAGAGGCCCCTGGCCGATGCCCCCAGGTCCCCTTGGAATCAAGGCCAGTAAGAAGGGCCATGGGGCACAAGGAATGTGCCTGTGGGATGAATGCAGTAGCCCAGCCTCCTTAGAGGGAAGAGCAAAGGCTGTCGGAGCTTGCAGAGCCCCAAGTTGACAGGGCAGAAGGCAGTGAGTGCAGTCTTGTCCCTTCCTTAGACCATTCCCATCCCTTTAGGCAGAAGCTAGGTAGAAGCTCAGCAGAAGCTCATCTGAGTAAGGACTGGTGAGAACTCTGTGCGAGCTCACAAAGAAACTACTCAGCATAGGCTGATACCACCTAAAGGAAATGGGAGGACAGAAGGTACCAGACAACGAGAAGGCCTGATTGAGACAACACACCCACTCCCATCCTGTCCCCACATTTTCAGCAGCACAAAGGCAGACAGAAAAACACAGCATCACAGTCCTCAATGGCTGAGACGGGAAAGAACACATGTCTGAAACTCAAATGCTGTCTGGGCTCTGGGGACGTCTGGAGCCACACAAAGAATGAGACTTTCAGCAACAGCCTCAACAAAGCCAAGAAGCGCATCCCACCCTGCGTGCTCCTGTTTCAACCCTCCATAGAGGCCGAAGAGATCTCAGCTGCATGAGATTTCAGCTCAATGAAGCCTGTTTTGGAACAGCCCAGACTCTGCTTTTTGCTGCATGGATGCAGGTTGGAATGGTTACAAATATCGGATAACCAGCTTCTGAAGCCCTGGCTGGCAGGTGGCATGAGATTTCAGCTCAATGAAGCCTGTTTTGGAACAGCCCAGACTCTGCTTTTTGCTGCACGGATGCAGGTTGGAATGGTTACAAATATCGGATAACCAGCTTCTGAAGCCCTGGCTGGCAGGTTCTAGAGGCTCACTGAGCATATCTGTGGCATGGATATGGAAGGTGCCCATCTGGGCTCACTCAAGTGGGGCGTGAGCGTGTCCAGCTCAGAGCAGGGCTGAGGAGCAGATGTGGCATTCACTTCTGGGTCTGATATATTTAGAGATGTGAACAACCAAGAAATAGAAACCAGGAACCCTTTTCTAATTAAAAGACAAGCAAAACTAACACTACCAGAGATATCTTACAGAAAAGTTATCTTGTCCTGTTTTTGTTTTCAGTCTTCAAAATTCTAATTTCCCCTTCTGGCTGCCTATGTTTCTGGGCCACCTCCTCTAATCATCAACAGCAGTTTTTATGATGGAAGGCAGATTAAATATATTATGTATCTGTTTTTACAAAACAATTGGGAAGCAAAGATATTTGCTGGATGAATGCAATAAATGAATGTAATAAAACACCCCCAAACATGACACATCAGAAGCCAAAGAGAAATAAAACTGGTTATCTGCACCAGGATGCCCTTTCATTAATGTAGGTAAGGGAGTCAATGGAGGGGCGTCCAGATGACCATGCATCATTTCTTTCCAGCCCTGGGGCTGCCAGAGATGTCAAGTAAGGGCTCAGGAGGCCTGCCATTGCATATTTAATAATTAGACTACGAAGTCATGCCCTCTGGCAGCATCAGACTTCTCCTGGTAGGATTTATAACCTGAAAATTTACTGCCTCGTACCTTCCCCAGACTATCACCAGTACCAGCATCCCAGCTCCTCACTAATGCTGCTTTTATGATTCATAAATGGATGAGGCCGCTCACCTTCCCCAAATATTATTCGTAGGGAACATTAGAGTGTCATAAAACAAATCTAGACATAGACTGAGGGCTAATTTCACTTAAAATGCATTTCAAGCAAACCCCTTATGATGTTTCAAATCAGACAGCATTTTCAAAGCCATAGACATACCGCTAGAGGAGAATGTGGCCTCCTGATGCTTAAAAACTGCCAGCCCTTCCTCCTGATGCCAGGGAGCTTGAGAGGTCCTTCAGCAACAACCTACTGCATCACCAAAGATCGACTCCAACAGATCAAAGTCCCTGATGCTCAGATTGATGGGAGGGCTTCTGTAACAAGCCCAGGGTTGGATTTTGGAAGCTCAATTCTCTGTATTTCAAGTACTTCTTCACTGCCACAATTGAGTCTGACACAAACATCACAGAACACAATGTGACTCTGGTACATTACGGGAAGCACTCCCTGAAATGATCCTATTATGATCTTTTTCTGGGGAAGTTTACTTCCTTATGGAGGCTAACATCCTCAGGAGGGATAATAAAAGCTAGAGAAACTCAGACTCACCTCATCTGTTTTTCTCTCACAGTCCACTGGCAATAATTTCACTGGGACCAAGAAAAGAAACATAAAGGAAATTAAAAATGTGGGTTGAGGAAAATAATATGAAAAGAGACCATTCTCAAAATTCATGAGAAATAAAACATTACCGACATAAGGATGGGGATTAGAAAGATGTCACCTAAATGAGGCATTTAAAAAATGCAGACAGTAAAATGTAAGGGTTTCCCAGTCCTGGGTTAGGAATTAGGATAGCTGGGTCCTCATCCCAATTGCAAATGATTAGCCATGGGTTCTTGGGCAACTCAACCACTTGGAACCTCTGTTTTCTCATCTGTGAAATAGGATCAAATGGGCCTTTCCTGCTTAACTTGGAGTTAGGCTCAAATGAGACAACATACACAACAATCTTGTGAACTGTAAACAATGATATGTTAAAATAGGGATTAATACCATCACGGGAGGGAAACTCCAGGTAAATCCTACTATATATCTCAGAGCTGTTGTCTTAAAGCATCTCAGCAGCAAGTACAAATGTGATATGTTTGACAACAGTGTAGTTCAAGTACCAGCACAGTGCTGTGACACTCCCAGGTCTGCTTAATTTTTCTAGCAGGTTGATAAACTATTTACATCGTTGATAAACTGCTCTCATACTGGTGAAATCATTTGGGTATCTGCATGTCTGTGATCCCGGGGCCCACAGATTGTACACACCCAAACATCCAAACGGCTAAGACATTATTTAGCTTTTTCCTGTATTTTGGCTACTCCTGCTAAGCATGGAAAGATGTGGCCTTGGCTCGAGGCTGGTAACAGTATTAATCACACTCATGCTTTGCAAAGAATATTAAAAGCTGGCGAACTACAGTGACACTTTATACCTAAGTGTATAATGAAATGATCTCTAGGTTGTTTTGTTAGACTAGAGCCCAGAGTTAAGAGGCAAATTTCCCTTTTAGGACACAAACCCTCAACTATTCAGGAGACATACTGTATCCTGCAGACCTCCCACTGGCATGTCTAATCATGTAACTAAACGTGGGACAGAAGGATGGCTGGGAACGTCCTTGAATCATAGACCCCCTCTTAACACACCCCATGAGGGTGCTGCAAGCAATAATAAATGCCTCTTGTTGATATCAGTTTGAACCCTTCAAGAGGTTCTTCCACACCTGTCTCTCAGGCAGGGCTAGTATAACCCCCTTTTGACAAGGGCCCTGAGGTCCAGAGAAATGGAGTAAGTGGTCTTTTTAGTGCTGCAAGCTGGGCACCCAACAAGATCTCGTCTGTGGGCCAGTGAAATCTGTGGTGCCTTCAAATGGGCACTAATGTGTCAGTGAGCAAGAGTTCAAAAGGGAAAAAAGGGGCCGGCCCTGTGACTCACTCGGGAGAGTGGGGCGCTGGGAGCGCCGAGGCGGCGGGTTCGGATCCTATATAGGGCGCTCACTGGTTGAGCGTGGTGCGGACAACACCGCGCCAAGGGTTGCGATCCCCTTACCGGTCAGGGGGAAAAAAAAAAAAAAAAAAAAAGGAAGAAAGAACCCAAAAGTGGTGGGGGCGATCTGTCAGAAGAGAGTGGTTTTCCCTTCTTTTCAAACCAGAGGTTGGGGTAAGAGTGACTACAAATGAAGGATGCTCCCGGCACATAGTTGAAAGGGAGACATTAGAAAGGAGGGATAGGGCAGAAAAGGAAAACAGAAGAAAGCGAAGGCAGAAACTACTGCAGATGCAGGAACCCTGGCGCTCTCTTCCCACAGCTGGACAAAGGAAAGTGAAGGTGTGAAGGTGAGAGGGAACTCAGAGGGAGCTGACAAAGCGCGGGAGTGTGCGGCCTGGCGTTCAGAGGGACGGGTGGTCGTCCCAGCGGACACACGCGCCCCCAGGGCCCTCCCCTGAGCCGGCCCGGGACGTACTGTTGTCCTCCGCCTCCTGCGGCGCCGAGGGCTTGCCCATCTTCACCCAGAGGATGCCCAGGAAGACGAGCAGCAGCCCCAGGCGCAGAGCAGTTTCCGGGGCTGCTCCCTTTCTGCGTCGGGATCCTACTGCCTGAACCTAGTGTCTCCGAGTTCTCCCACAAGGAGGATTTTGCCTGGCCCTGGGTGCTCCCCCCTTCCGACGAAATGTGGGTTCCACAGGCAGGGATGAGAGAGCTGTGACTCAGGCCTGAGCCACCTAAACCCAAACGCACTCCAGTAGCTCACACCCAGCCTCCAGCCACCAGCAACTGTCAGCTGAAGGCCCTGCTCCCTGCGGTATACCAGGCCCTGTGCTTTCCTAACTGGGCAGGGACACAAGCTCCGTATCAGGGCTTTCACCCAACTTACTCCCTTCCTTCTCTTTCCCTCCCCACTCCTTTCCCCCTTCTCCGTCTTTCTCTATAGTTCTTTTTCTTCCTACTTCCCCCAGGCATAGCTCCACCGACGGTCAGGCCCAGCACAACTTTATAAATTTGTGGCCAACTTGCCAGCAACGGGGCTGTTCCTGTCCGCTTCTCACCTTAGAGACCCAAAGGGATGCTCCTTGGCTGGAGCAGGAGGGCAAGTACATGCACACGCACGCACATACACACACACAAATACACACACTAGGCCTCCCGGCGGCGAGAGCCACGGCTCCGCCCGCAGAGAGGCCGCAGCGGGCCGGGCGCGCAGCGGCGCCTCCTCGCGTAGCCGGGCCTCGTCCCGCAGCCACTCCCCGGTCCGCGGCCGAGCCTCGTCCCGCAGCCGCTCCTCGTCGCGCAATCGGGCCTCGCCCCGCAGGCGGCGCAGCTTGTTGCGGTAGAGTTCCCGAGTGGTGTCGGTGATGGGTCCTGGCTGGGAGCCCAGGGCCTGTAGCTCCCGCCGCAGCTCCTGGTCCGACAGGCCGGCCATGGCCAGGACACCGCCCCCCGCCCGCCCCCGGCGCGCACCGCACCCGGAACTGCTCCCGCCGGCAGTCGCGGCGGAGCAGGCGGGGCCGGCGCCATGATGGGAAGGTCGGGCGTGGAAGCCATATTGGGAAGGTCGGTGCCTGGCCGATGGCCGGCCATGATGAGGAGGTCAGACTCGGCCTCCAGAGGCGCCATGTTAGGAAGGTCCGAGGGAATTTTTTGTTTGTTTTTTCCCCGCTCTTGTCCCGCCCTGCCCCTGTCCCTGCCCCTTGTTTGTTAGACCAAGCGTTGTTGATCTCTGAATCCACCTTCCCAAGCGCGGTCTCTGGCACGTGGTATGCATTCAATAAAGTCGTGTTGATTTAATGGATGAATTGCTTAATGGTGAAAGACAAGCCACTGCCAAGAGTGGGGAGACACGATCATTGGCCTCTCTCTGTGCGTGGGGACCAATGTGTGGATCGGGTTGTATCTGGGTGGTGGAGTAGACCCCAGGCATGCCCCGAAACCCTGCCTCGACTTCGGGCTTCGGTGGAGCGGCCTCTGTATTCTAGTCGTTCACACGCCCGATATTGAGCACCGGGTAGGTGCGGGCCCTGCTCAAGGACAGCCACTGGCCCTGAATGCACTCCAGCCTGGTGGGGGGAGCGGAGAGGGCGGAAGAGCCAAATGCCCTTGGGCTCAAGTGGGCAGTTGAGGCTTCTCATCGGAGCCCCGGGGCTGCATAGTGGGATTTTCACGAGGAGAGATGGGTAGGGAAAGACACCAGAGACCCACGATCTTGTTTCCCTCACTCCTGGTTTAGGATGTGGGCTCTGGAGCCAGTCAGTTTGATTTCAAATCCCACCTCCACAACTGTTAGATATGTGATCATATCCAATTAACATTTCTAGCCTGTTTGCCAGAAAACCTCAGAGGGTTGCTGTGAGCAGTAGAAGAGGTAATTTGTGTAAGGTGCTTAGGACAGTGCCTGGCACATGCTCACAAGTGTTTATACTTAACCTGGATGTCTGCAGCTGTGTAGAGCCTCCCACAGGGCAGGTGATTTGGTTACATGAAGGCTCTTAGCAGGAAACCCCTAAGGGAAGCAAAGGAAGTGGTGGTAAATGAAAATAGCTATAGTTCATAGTCTTCCCTCCACCCCCCTCCCTCTTTGTATTCCTTCCACATCCCTCATCAGCTCCCTTTCCCAAACATTTATTGCTGGCCTAATAGGTTCCAGTCTGTTTCTACCCCTCCCATTCAGCTCTCCCCTTCCCCCCCGCCCCTTCCTCCCTGGGATCTCCCTGTACCTCTACCCAACAGTCCTATCACCCACTCCCACCTTGTCCCTCCCTCCTTGGGATGCTGAGCAGTGCTCCCCCATCAGGGTTTTGCATTCCTGCCACTTGCTCTACCTCGGGGGTATTCAACCCTGGCCACAGTTGCTGGGAAAATTACAGCCTCGACTTGGTCAGGCTTCTGTCGTTAGCCTCCCTGTCTCCCCCGACTTAGCTGCTCCCATGTGGTGTGCGATTTCTCTCACCAAGTGTTGTTTTCCTTTCCTCTGCCTGTGTTTGCATGGAATGCCATGAATTTGATATAGTGATTGCCTAACACATATACCACATAATAGTATTTTATTTCTTCCTGAAGCTCTGTTTGCATGACAAATGAGCTGGTAACATTTGTGCAACTCCTTGCAGCTGTGCAGTTCAATATATAAAGAATGAGCCTTTCGGCATCAATACTGGCCCTGTGTATTCTAAGAGGGCTTGAAACTGATGCTTAAACAAAGTTAACGTTACAACATTTCATAGAGTTATGGTCAATTATATCACAATGGATCTCAGGGCGATTTAAAAATATGGACTGAATTGGAGCCACCCCAGTGGTGGTACGCAGCGTGGGCTTTGTCAGCCTTCCTTGTGTTTGGGGACAGAACTGCTGCTACTATACATGCCTGGGGCCAAATGGGCCCTTTCACCTGAACCCTGTTGTCTTTCCTGTAGCATAGAACCCATCATGTTTGTAGCAGTGGCCTTTTGCCCCCATGGTGGCTTGTAGCAGGCGATGGCCTCGTCTTTCTTGGTGTAGTGCATCAACAGGCACCCAACCACTTACGGTGTATTTGCCCATCAGTGCTCCCCTCCCCGCCCCCTCTGAGAAGAAGCCTCAAAATCAATCAATTGTTCCTCCCAGATCTCAGGCCTTTCCATTTTCCTCCCAAACTCCTGGCTCCCAGTCCCGCCCCTTTCCTGGATTTATAGCCCTCCTCAATCTTCCATCAACATTCTCTGTGCCCAAAGCCATTTTACCCATTTTAGTGAAGTCAGTTTGTTGCTTTTTACATTCCCCCCCACACCATGCACACAATTCCCCTCCGAAGAGCTCGACCTCAGTGCTTCTTTGCCACCACTGCCCCTTGCCCCCTTGTCAGGAGCTGACCGTGAGGCCCTCCTGGGGCATCTAGAGTCTGCCTTTCTGTATCTTCAACGTTGGCCTCCTGCTGGGCCTGTCCAGGGTGGGAATGCATATTTTAAAGAAAGGGCAACGTTGCAAAGTCAATGGCTGCCCTGCCTGCCCTCCTTTCCTGTCGTTTTCTTGTGGGTTTTTTAAAGGTAAGCAGCTCAAGCTGCAGTGGGTCTTCCTGATTTATTAAAGGCAAAAGAGGAAAAACAAGAAGCAATGTCTAAATCTACTTAGTAACCACATCCACACATTTGGCAGAGGCTAGGGGCTGCTCGGAGCACGCTCTGGATTCCCGGAGGGCTGCCACACTGCCTTCCGTCCTGCTGACCTCTCTCTGTCTCGGCAGAGCCTTATAATAACAACGGCCATAAATCTTTTAGTGGGTTCCAATCTCCAGCTCCTCCTGCAAAAAGCCCTGCACACATTTATCAGGTCCTCAAAGATGCTCAGAGACTGTGGACTCACCCTTGATCCACCTCGTCGAGGGCCTTCTGTTCTCTCTCTGCTATTCTGGGCTTACTTCAAACCTTGTCATGGGTGACATCATGGTGGTGGGGAGGGGGTGACTGGTAGAGTGTGGCTGAAAAGTGGGAGCTGTTTTGGGCTCAGATTTTGACTGGAATGACCCCATGAGAACTCTTGGGCAACTTCCTGTTCCCTCATCTTGTGTCTTGTGGAAGAGGAGGTTGCCCTTTTCATCTCTTTCTAGGTTTGCAGGGGGTGTCAATGAAGGAGAAAAATAGAGTCACAGAAATGCCAGAAAGGGTTTAGTGGGCAGTATTGTGCCTGCTTTTTATAATCTGTGTAAAATTAAACAAAACTCTCACTCTTTCGACCACTCTCACACTTTGGTATCTGTGGGTAAGAGTTCCTTTAGAGGCATGGAATACATCGCCCGATGTCAATAACAGATTGTGTAGGAAGAAAAATGTAATGCTTTCAGGACATTTTCTTTTGGGCTTTGTCCATGATTAGATTATACTAAATTACAGAGTACAAATATCAGGCAATTACTCTTTGCTTTTAACTATTCAATTTCATGGCAAATCCATGTAGCTCAGTAATTATAAAATCACACCAATGTGGTTACTGAGAAAATACCTCATCATCTCCATCTTGTGAAGCTAGGTTCAGGGTGCCCTATAATTACCTGTGGTCCCGGTAAGCGTAAAGTACAGTCCAAATGAAGATGGGGTAATCTGTACCTCTTCATGATTGCCAGGTTCTGGAGAGACTCCTGCAGATTTTGCTGGATAAACCTCAGTAAGATGTGAGGAGGTCGGGCATCCTTGCCTTGCTGGTTACTTTGGGCACTCTATCTGATCCTGGCTGGTTTCTGGTCCCACTCATTCTATAGTTTTAACCAGGGGTGTGTCTCTCTTTTCTTCTGTTATGTGAAAACATGGTCATTTTCTCTTGGCTTAGCTCATGGAATCTTCCCCAACCTCTCCCCAATTTTAATTTCTTCCAGGGCTGTGCGTGTCTTGTAAGCAATCGAGTCTGTGGCCCTGGAAACTGGAGGAGCTCATTGGTGAAAAAGAATTATCTGGGCTGGTTGTGAGAAATCGAACAGTGGCAGGAGGAGGAAAACGAGAGAAGAAAGGAGCTGACACATCTAAACAAGTGGCCGGGGCACTGTGCATACAGATGTAGGTGGTAGCTGGGTCCCTGTTGCAGCTCATTACTGAGAAGCACATCAGAGGTGCAGTGTGAGGGTCAGGGACTTTTGGGCTACGGCGCTGAGCTTTGAACAGGGCTTTTCTGCAGAACGAATGGTACCTGAGCCCTTTCCAGGTGCTGTAGTTGCTGAACTAATTACCATTTTTAGAAGTGCAGACCACGTGGGGTGAAATCTCTTAGGGGTCTTATTTCCCTCTGTGGCATCTATTTCAATGCTTTTTTTCAATCCCAGGATGTTAGGGAAAATTCCCCAGAGGGGCTGGGGCACCCACCCCAGAAATGGGTACCCCCTGCTGGTGATGGGGAAGATGGTCTCACTATAGGGGCAGATTCCAGCAGAGGGTAAGTGGAGGACACAAAATGTTTTCTTCATGGAAAGAGACGGAGAGCATCTTGTTTTTCTGTTTTTTGGCGTGTGTTACAGAGAATGGGGTGAACTGGCATGGTGGAACTCAGAAGGGTGAGGAGGAGTCCTGGATCCGGTTCCGCCCCATGGTGTGCTTTTCTTCCCTGCATGCTCTGCTGCAGTAGCCCTCTCTCTCCATTTATTACAGGATGTCTTGGCAGCATTTCCCAGGAACCTGCAGCTGCTCTTGGGTTAATCAGTATGTGCACTGGAAATGTGTGTGGCTGTGCAGCGTGGCAGGGTCTGGGTCCCACGGAAGGTTTGGGTGTTCCTCAGGAGAATTCAGAGCAGCCCAAAGGAGGGTCCTTTTCAAGCACTGGACTTTTCTTGTTTTGATAACTACTTTCTGTGGCTAAGCCCTTGCAGTGGTTGAGGTGGGTGGAAATACAGAATGGATACTGTGTCTAATTGCTTGTAACCTATGGATGGGGGAAGCTATGGTTCCTATATGGCCCCAGTCTATAAATAAATGAACACTCATTAATGTAAAATTAAATTAGAATAAAATTTCCCATCCAGTTTTGTTTAGAAGGCAGAAATAAGTGGGTTGGCTGTGCAATTTTGTTGCAGAAGCTGCCACACATAGTCATGAGATGATAATAATAATAGTGATTTGTTCTTTGCTGGTGCCTCGGTTCCCAGCTCTCCAGGCAAGTATTACCACCTTGTTTTTGCAAAGTCTTATTGAGGTTAAAGGGCTGATTGGAAGTTACTCAGCAAGGGGTTAAGTGCAGATGCCTTAAAATCCTCTGGCCCATTAGACCTGGAGCTCTAAACAGAAAATGGACCAGAATTCAGGAGACCTGAATTCCAGTCCTCGCTCTCCCACTGATTCAGTGTGTGGGCAAAAATGCCACCTCTCTGGTGCTTGGTTTTCTCACCTATAATGGAAGTACTGGTGCAAATCTTACAGTTTGTCGAATCCAAGCTGATAATTGAACATAAAACTAACAGAAGGACACATTCTGCTAATGTATGCACCATTTATGGCCAACTCTCTCTGAGCTTTTTTTCCTCCTTTTCCTCATGACCTGAGTTTGCCCTTTGGAAATTAAAATATTAAATAAAAGAGTAGTTTCTTTCTATTTCATGCTTTATTTGCTGGAGGAGGATTTGCTTTGGAGACTGTTTTCCTTCAGCCCAGCTTGAGGACTATGTAGATTTCTGGGGCTTCCCTCAGGCAGGAAGAGGGTCCCGGATCCATTCACCTTCTCCCCAGAGTGGGGCTGTCACTTGGCTGCTGGGGAAAAAGCAAAGGTTTGCAGCTCAGTGGTATCAGCAGGTCTGTTTATGAAACCTCCTTCTAAACCCTGCCTGCAGGTCAGGGGGAGGAGGTGCATCCAGGGCAGGTTGGGGGCCTGGGACATGGGGGTTTCACAGGGTACCTGGAAGATCTCTGTAGCCTGGGGCAAGTCATTTAACCTTCCAGTTTCTCCATCTCTACCAACACTCCCTCCCTGTCTCTCTCCTTTCCTCCTGAGGACCATGAGAAGTAATTAGTGGCTGTTGTCAGACAAGATCTAGCTTTGCACAAGTAACTTGGGCAGACCTTGAAATGGGCAAGGCCAGATGGGGCCCAGGACTTTGATTTACAGAGACGGAAGAAAAGAAAAAAACCAAAAAACTGCACCAGGGTTTCCTTCAGAGCAACCACCCAGCCCAGTGATGTTTTGGGAGGGAATGAAAATATCTGGAACGGGAGAGGGCTGGGTGGGTTGCTGTTGATTTGTAGTGGCCCTCTGCCAGGGGGGTTTCTAGGAAAAGGACTGATCCTCAAGGCAGGGGCCTAGGGCCCCCTCCCTGGAGAATTGGGGCTCCGTGTCCACGGGCAGATATCAGAGCGCCCCCCCAGTAGGCTCCCCTGGGAGATGGGGGTGTGCTGGAGGAGCAGATAGCTCCATGTTCTCAAGTGCAAGGCAGCAAACCAATTGCTGTCCTCAAGCCTTGCTCAGCTGAGCTCTTGGAATATTAACACCAGGGCGGGCGGGGGCCAGCCCCTCCCATACCGTTTTGGGTGCACAGCAGCACCTCGCTCAGCAGCGCTTCCAGGGCAGCCTGGTGCTTTTCCAGCTGCCTGGAGTTTATCCTCATTCCAATTTCCACAGGAGCAGTCAGCTGTGAAATAAGGCAGAGTTAACAAGAAGGGAGAGATGTGGAGAGGGCCATTAACCCCGGGTGCCCCACAGGTGGCAGGAGAGGCCCACGGGAGCCATGCCACCCTGCTCCGCCTGGCTCCACTCTTCCCCATCCCCTGACATCCCCCCTTCCCTACAATTCTAACTAGGAGGCTGGATCCTGCAAGTCACTGAGTCCTGCTGGGAGGATCCCCCTCTTGGAAGCTGGGACAGGAGGGGTGGTGTTGGCAGGAAGCCCACTGGCTTTTCATATGGGGAAGGAACTCACCCCTTCCCCCCAATAATAATAATAATAGTTAACATCGAGGAGTCTTACCTTGTACTGGGTGCCGTTCTAAGTGCTTTATGTATATTAAGCCTCTCAATAACCCTATGAGGTGGGGACTATTAGTGTTCTCATTTTGCTGATGAAGAAACTGAGGATGAAGGTGGAGTAACTTGCTTAAGGCCACACGGGTAGTAAGTAGCAGAAAGGAGACGTTACACCCCTGCGGCCTGGTTCCAGGGTCTGCGCGCATGACTACCGGGCACCGTGGGAACGCGAGTGAGGCCCTGCAGGAGCTGTCAAGAGGCAGCCAGTGTGCTGACTGATCTCCCATCATCCCCCAGAGCTTCCTGGTTCAATGGTCTTGCTCCCTCCTCTCCGGAGAGTCCCCGTGGAGGAGTCCCAGTCCCGACTCCCCCACCTCCCACCTGGCTCCCTGGGTGTGGGGAACAGGCTGGGGCCTGCCCTCTAGACCCTCGGGGCTCAGGATGCCTGAAAGGCATCACTGTGGGGCTCTGGTTCGAGACTTGCCTATGCCATCCTCTTGCTGTGGTTATGCCTCTCTCTAGGCCTCAGTTTGCCCCCTTTAAAATGAGGAGGCTGGACTGCATAATCCAGAAAGGACATCCTGTATATCATGGTTCTAGGGAGATGGAAAGGGGACACGAGGTGTCTTACCCCAAGTCTCCCCAAAAAGGATGCTACTTTGGATGTATCGCATCTCATTAACCTGGGAGTTGGTGTCTCCAGCTCTGCCTCAGGTGAATGTAGAGGGAACTTCTTAGTGAGTTCTCCTCTTGCCAGCTGCAAGGCTCCCTCCTGGCTCCCTCCTCATGAGCTCAAGGAGATCAGAGTGGATGTGGGGAGGAAAGGAGGCCCACCATGCTGAGCCCAGTGACAGTGCTGAGGTCACTCTCTGGGCCACCTACCTGACAGAGCATGGAAAGATCACTGGCCTGGGTGTCTTTGGCGAGGCCCTTGCTCTGCTGGATGTCCGTCTCCTCACCTCACAGGCTCTTTTACATGGAAGTGCCCCACACTCAGGCCTGGGGCCTCTCCTCTTCTCCACCCACATCTGCCCCCTCAGGGAGCTCAACCAGCCCTGGCTTCAAATGCCATCGAGTAGCTGATGACTCTATCCCTAACCTCTTTCCTGAACTCCAGCCTGGTATTTCCACCTGCCTGTGCAACGTCTTCACCTGGATGCCCAAGAGCATCTCACAGTTCACAGGTACAATCTGACCGCCTGATCTTTATTCCACCAACTGCAGCCAGCCACAGTCTTCACTGTCTGTTAGTGACAAATCTGTCCTTCCAGCTGTTTCAGCCCCAAACCTTCAAGTTAGTCTTTACTTTTCTCTTTCTTCACATCCTCTATCCATTATTTCAGCAAATCCAGTGGGCTTCTACCTCCATTTTCTAAAATCCAACCACTCTGCTCTGCCTCCATCATGACCACTCCAAGCCGAGTCTCTCTCTCTCTCTCATACTAAAGCAGACACCTCAGTACTCTCCTTAATTCTGTACAGCAGCTGGGGAGATCCCTTTAAAATGTAAATCAGATCATATCCCTCCTTTGTGCAAAAGCCCCCAAGGGCTCCCACCCCTGTGGAGTGAATGCAAAGTCCAAACAATGGCCTATGACATCCACAGTCTGGCCTCATGCCTACCATCTCCCCGGCTCCATCTGCTCCAGCTTCTCTGCCTCCTCACTGTTCCTGAATGCACCCTCCCGCCCCTGCCTCAGGGCCTTTGCACTGGCTGTTTCTGCCGGGAATACTCTTACTCCAGGCATCCCTATGGTTCACTGCCCTGCTCTCTTCGGGTCTCTGCACTGATGCCATCTACTCATTTACAGACAATAACAATGACACAAAGCAATTATTGTAGGCACCAAATAAGGAAGTATGATAGAGGGTGACCAAGTGGGGTTTGGGGTACTGCTTTGCTCACCTTATTTAATACTGTACCCATCTCATTTCCTTGGCCAGTTGTATTTTCCTCCACAGCACCTGTCACTACCTGCCGTACTACAAAATTTGCTGATTTACCTTGTTTGCAGTCTGTCCCTGGTCCTTCGGGATCCCTTTCTGCTTCCCCGCTGGAGTGTGAGCTCCACGAAGGCAGGGACTTTGTTTTAGTTACTACTCCATCCCCAGTGCCTAGAGTGGTGCCTCACACAAAGGAGGGGCTCGTTTATTCATCCTCTGAGTAAACGAGACTGTGAAATTAAAGAGCTGAACAGGACACACTCAAGGTTCTCTGCAGCCCTGATCCTAATCAGTGCAGAAGGACCCAGGCCCTGGGTGTCAAGGTCGATAGCTGTCTCCTGGGCCCCTGTGCAGGAGGAGAGGAACCGATGCCCTTCTCACCTCTCTTGCGAGGATTGCAGCTGCCTTCTGACTGGTCTCTTGCCTCTACTTGCGCTGCCCCAGATCTTTCTAAGTTGGATTGGGTGATTTGTCTGCTTTGAACCCCAGTGACTTCCCAGATGTCTTGCCTGGTGCACCAGGCCCTACCTGAGCTGGCCCTGCTGACCTCTCGCCCCCTCTCAGCACACCCCCATCACAGGGGCCTGAGACTTACCAGGTGCTCCTGAGTGGGCCTTAGCACTCGCTGTTCGTTCTTCTGGGAGGCCCTTGCTCCAGCTCCATGCACAAGTGGCTCCTTCTCTTTATTCAGGCTTCAAATCAAATGTCACCTCCTCCAAGAGGCTTTCCCTGACCTCTCCGCTGGACAAAGCAGTGCCCCAAACAGAGTGGGCCTTAGCACTCGCTGTTCGTTCTTCTGGGAGGCCCTTGCTCCAGCTCCATGCACAAGTGGCTCCTTCTCTTTATTCAGGCTTCAAATCAAATGTCACCTCCTCCAAGAGGCTTTCCCTGACCTCTCCGCTGGACAAAGCAGTGCCCCAAACACCACTTGGTCACCCTCTATCATACTTCCTTATTTGGTGCCTACAATAATTGCTTTGTGTCATTGTTGGTGTTTGTCCCTGCCTATCAGCATGGTGCTTGCTGCCTGGATGTCTTGTTCACTGCTGGATCCTAGGACATCCCATGACTGGTTGTAGTTGGTGGGCCCTGCCTCCTTGCCAGGCTGGGGAACCATGCCCCACACTGATTTTTCGCCACTGTCCCCATAGTCTGCTCACCTTCATCATTTTGTTTTCTCCGTCCTCAATGGGCTCTGTGGGGTCTACAGGACCCATCTCCTCAGACTTCTGCTGTACATTCAGGGATTTCTTTTGCCCTTTGTTCCGTTCCCTCTCCTAGGGGCAGAGTATAAAATTGCACAAAACTGCCCTCCCGCAATCTGCCCAGCCCTGCCCCTGTCTCCATCTGCCCAGGGTGCTACTGGCCTGAGCTCCCCACAGACTGAGAGAACCCTTCCTCTCAAGTGCCTGCTACATAGAGTCTCAGACATTCAGGGTTTTAAGGATGACCCTAGGAGTCCCCCACCAACAGGTCAACTGGAAAAGGAATTGGCTCCTTTGAAGTTAAAACATCGCACCCGGATTGTTACTGTTAATTAAGTTAAAAAGCTGAAAATAATGGCTGCCCTTCATGCATATTAAGTGGGAAAATGTGTCTTTCTTAGCAGAAAGCCTATAAAAAAGGTAGCAAGACAGCCTAGCCTGTGAGGGCACCATGGGGTGGCCCGGGAACTCAGAGTCCCTGGGAGGTGATTTATAAGAGGCAAGACAGGGGGATGAATTATGGAGGAAGGAGTTTGCTGCTTCTTCATAAACATCCTGGTGCCTGGCAATTACGAGGAGAAAAACCATGGAGCAAATTAATGCAAAGTGTCCTTTGGTTGCCATTTTGCTAGCATATGTTCTCCTGAGTTTGGCTGTCTCTGTTCAGCCCCCAATCTCACCTGGCATGCTGCTGGCCAGGTCTCTGAGCACTGATACCAGATAAACCCATTCTTCTGGTTACTCTAATGACACTCTTGGGATTCTGTTGTTGGCCTGCACTGAGAGGCAGTGGTTCCAGAACAATGGCCATCTCCTTGGGAGATTGAGCCAGAGTGGAGGCAGAGGAGCTGGGTTCAGCCTCACCTCTGCAAAGGGTCACATTCACTAGGAATGTGGAAACCTGGCCCACAGTGTGCAGGTACGGACAGGCTGTGCCACAGGGCTCTGAGGCCTCCCAGGGAACTAATTCATACATTTGGCCCTGTGGGAACCTCCGTCTCAGACAGGGTGGGGCATGAAAGTCCCATCTCTTCACTTCCTTGGGTTAAAGGGAACCCCTGAAGTCTATAGTAAAAGGTGCCAGGGAGGCTGAGCCAGCAGTCCAGTTTTCCTTAGGCCCCATTGCCTGACTTCCATCAGGCCTGCCTTGTTTTCTTCTGGGCTCTAAAGAGAAAGAGGCTTTTGCCACCACTAGGTAGAAGGCCACCTTCTTCCCCACCTCTGGACACTGGCTCCCATCCATTCCTCACTCATGTCTCAGGATTTTCATCTTTTCCCTGATGGCTTCCAAAAAGCTCCAGCCCATGGCAATTTCTCCCTCCTCTGAACCCAAGCACTTACCATTGGCATCACTTAGGGAGCAATTTATCATGTCCTGCCTTGTGACATCTCTCTTTCGTCATCAATTGTTAGTTAATTTTTCATATGTGTGTGTCTTGGCTCCCTAGCCTGCTCCTTGAAGACAGGGGAGGTGCTTGGATTTCCTTGCGTTTTCTGGCCCATCACCCAGGGTAGCCCCTTGTGCTGCAGAGAAGCTCAGTAAATATTTATTGACTTGCTAATTGAAAATTTCCTCCAAAGGACAGGCAGGGGTGGGAGAAGATGTCGCTCATGGGAGCCACTGACATCTCTGAGTGATGCCAGTGAAGGTGGCCAGAGCTACAGCTGGAGCTCGGGGATGTTTCAGGTCCTGTGGCTTCATGCTCTCCTTGGCATCACTGGCATAGGTAATTAACATGGTTCACCAAAGGAACACTCCGCTTCAGAGACACTAGCACCACTGCAGGGCTGTGACTCACCTCAGCCATGTTGGGAGGTGGGCAGCAGCTGCTTCCTACCTGCATCCTCTGGAGTTCGCTGTAGGTGAAGATGGGGATGAAGGCTTCCGTCTGGGAGGCCAGCATGGCGGTTGCATGCACCACCAGCAGCGCAGCCACGGCCTTGCGGGACACCATCCTGGAGCTGTACAACAACAAGGAGCTCCTGTCACTAAGTTTAGGCCTTGGTGGCAGACTGCTACATTGGAGGTAGGAGCGCTCAGCTCTGCTCCACGCCCCATGTGTAGATGTGTAATCCTGAGCAAGTGCTTGGCCTCTCTGGACTTGGGCCTGGGATCAGGGCTTTGCCAGATGAGCTCTGAGCACCCTGTCTGCCCTGAGCTGTGAGAGCTGACTAAGTTCCTAGGAAAGGCCACCTAGCCCCCTGCCACACACTAGGGAAGAATCATTCCATTTGTCGGCACTTCTTGTTACAGGCAAGGTCTTCTGGGGTCAGCTGAGCTCGTGAGACAGGAGGGACCTCATCTCTTGGAGAAAGAGCTCCTAGATTATCAACAGAACTGTGCCCCGAGACCCAGGGAGGCCTCCCTGCTCCATGTGCTGATGAGAATGACAAAAGGGATGGACTCAGGCCCAGATGACTGTGGCTCTACCTGGGAGCACCAGGCCAAGACCCCAGGTCTGTAGAAGAAAATGCTGAGACCCTCGGCCCATGTGGAGGAAGAGCCAGATGGTAAAATTCAGCACAGAGCTGCATCCAAGAGCTGCAAGTGGGGCCCCCACCCCACTGGGCTGAGCGCTGGCTCTGGAACAAGCCTCTCCCCAGCACTAGTGTGTCTAGCTGCCTGCTGGCCACAGCCAGAAACAACAGGGGGCTCCTCCCTGCAAGCCTGCCGATGCCCTGGAATGCCATGAGTGCTGGTGGGGTGCCAGTGTGTGGGGGGGCCTCCTGCATCCTGGGAAGTGGATATGTCTGGAATGGCTGGCAGGAAGGCAGGCTACAGGGGGCTTTCAAGGCTCAGGTCCTGCCAGGGAGCAGGTGATGAGGTGACTGCAGAGGTACAGAGACTTGAGAAAGGGTGTCAGTTGGGTAGGCTTTGGGCAGGGTCAGGGAGATCCTGGGCAGGGGTGGTGCAACCTGGCTGGGTGTTAGCCTCTGTTGACTCATTCAGAGGCAGCTGGGCTGGAACCCTGGCTTTCCAAGGCCTGGTGTCTCTCCCAATATCCCACCCCATGTTGTCTCTGCCCACAAGTAGGTGCAGGAGGGCATTGCTAGGGGCAATCCTGCTGAATGCATCCTGTGTACTACCGGTCCTGTGCTGGGTGGGCTGCTGAGTGCAGGAGCCAGACCTCCAGAACAGGGAGGGGAGACCAGGGAAGCCTCTGTGGTAGTAGGGGTGGTGGTGATTCAAGGTTTCAGATAAAGGGCTCCCCAGCCTCGGGCACCCTGGGTTTTGTGGGTGGTAGAGGGTCCTGCTCTGGGCCAGCCACCAAGCTTCTCTGCAGGTGTAAGCCCAGCTGTTCCCTTGGAGGGAAGCTTCCAGGGCTGTGGGCTTGCATCCCACCTTTCTGACAGCACCTGTCTCCTCAGTCATCCAAAACCACCTCTGCCAAGCAGGACACTCCTCTGCCTTCTTGCTATTTCTGCTCTCTCTCCCTCCCCTCTTGCTACTTTTTCTGTCCATTTTGTTCACACTCCATGAGCAAGAATACCAGGGATCAGACAGCTAAAGCCTCCCCATCCCAGCTGCATACAAATTCCCAGTAGGTTGGAAGGGCCACCGGACCATTAATGATCACCTTTTGGGAAGCCAAGACCCTCTCCAGAGCCCAAGGAGCATGTGCTGAACAGAGGATGGGTGGCGTTGGTGCCTCCCCTCTCCTTCCCATCCTTTCCCTGAGGAGTCTCTGGGGCTTTGCTTTTCATCCCAGAGGAGACAGATGTGTCACATTTATAGCGTCCTATTTCCTTCACAGAGATGCTATAGATTCCTTTTCATTCTGGTATTTGCATTTAATTCATTCCATAAGAATCAATAAAAACTTTAAATTAAGAAAAACTGCAAAATCCAGTTGCTGCTCATTTTCTTGATCCAACTGGCAGTTGGCATGTCACCTGCTTTCTGGCAAGCTGGGAGTGGGAGAGAGCTTTTCATTGTGGAATGAGGTGCTGGATCCTTTTCCATCCTCAGGGATGGGGCTTCAGCCTTCACATGCAGCTCTGCAGGAGGGGGCCCGTCTCCCTTCCCCCTCCCATAGTACTGCCTAGCCATGTGATTCCCCTCGCGATCAGCTTCTTTATCTGAACTTTCCAGAGCAAAGCCACAAAGCCAAGTGGGGCCCTGTGTCCCTGCTAAGCCCTGGTTTGGGTTCTGAGCCCACTGTCGGTGTGCCAGACCCACCCCACACAGCTTCTGCTCCTCCAGGAGGTGCACCCGCCTGCTTCCTGCAGCCACCAGGCCTCAGCCCTGCTTCTGCCCAGTGAGGGCAGCTTTAGCCAGTTCCCTTGGGAATCAGCTGGGGCGCTCAGTCTGAGGCCCAGCTAAGCATTTTTTTTTTTTTAAAAGATGACTGGTAAGGGGATCTTAACCGTTGACTTGGTGTTGTCAGCACCACGCTCTCCCAAGTGAGCAAACCGGCCATCCCTATATAGGGATCCGAACCCGTGGCCTTAGTGTTATCAGCACCACACTCTCCTGAGTGATCCACAGGCCGGCCCTCCAGCTAGGCATTTAAAGGTGGCAGAGGGACACAGGAGCAGGTCAGTACACCCCAGGGAGCTGTGGACTGGGCTGGCTCTGCCCACACCTCTGTTTTGCTTCAGGGCTTATGCTGGCAGCACCCCCCCAAACTTTCTCCTACAGCAACTTACGGTATGAGCGTGGTCTAGGGGCCCGGAGGAGTCTCTCTCTGCTTGTCCTCTGGTGTCTGGCTGGTCTGATGGGCCCTTTTATCCCTCCCGTCCTCCCCTTGGAACCCATTAACCTTTGGCCACACTTTTGGGGGCTCTGGGTGGGGGAGCCTGGATTCTCAGAGCTCATGGAAACCTGCCATGCTGTGGGCTTCCAGGGCTTTCCTGGAAGGCCTCTTTTGTGAGTGATGGTCAGGGTTCTGTGGAAGCTGCCCCGCCCAGATGGCACTCTCCTGTCCACTTTAAACACAGCTGCTGCTCTGAAGTCATTATAACGAAAGCCTTTTCTTTTTTGCTCCTTTAATAGATGATGTCGTTGAGCGTCTCCAGCTAACTCTAAGTGATCAGATTCTTTGTCGGCTGTCAGAACACTGTATTAGAAAGATAACTTCACTTCAGTCCCTCCCCTGAAGCCCCTCATGAAAGAAAGCGCTCAGGAGTGTGTGACAGTGTTTCAATCGATTGATAATCCAGACCCAGGGCTGCTCAGGGCTGCATGCCACAAGGGAGCAAGGGTGGCATGAGGGTCTATGCGTCTGTAACCTAAAGGGGAGACCCTACACCTATCTGGGAGACATGTTGTGGCAATTGTTTAATGCAAACAGTCTGTTTAACGATTCAAAGAGGGAGGAGGTGCATGTGAGCTGGAGTCCCACGGGCCTGCTGCTGCTGCTGGCTGCTGCCGTTCCGGGAACACAGTTCTACTCAGGGAATGCTTGACACGCACGTTCCAATCAAGCTCAGCAAGTCCATGAGGTTGGTGTGTTTATTTCCTCCATTTAAAAGATAAGAAAACTGAGGCACACCTAAATGACACATCTGTGGCCCCCCTGCAAGGTCTCTTTATACAGGGTCAAGGCTGGACATGGCCAGGTGCGGCAGAGGATGAGGATGGGGATGGGGCTTCTGGGATGTGGGTCACATGCAGGCACAGGGAATGGCACAGAGGATCAGGTGTCTCAGGAGGTCCCCTGTGTGGGTTGGGAGTGACTCTGTTGGTCCTGAATGTGGGAGCCTTTAGAAACCAAGCAGAAGGATTTAGATTTGATGTGGGGGACAGGGGGTCTTCATGAAACCTTGATGTGGATGATATGACAAAAGCATCATACTGGAAGATCACTCAATGGCAGGTGCTGGCTTTGGCGCAGGGGAGACCAAGGCAGGGAACATTCTGGGTGTGAAATCCAGAGGGTCTGGGTGGGCAGTGGACATTTCCCCAGGCAAACCACGTTGACTGGTAGTGCCTTCCAGAGAGGCTGCCCCACCCAGACATCCAGGTGGGGGTTCTTCTTGTCCAGGAACCCCTGTCTGTCTGCTGTGGCTTTTTCCCTTAGAAAGTGGCAAACATTTGCAGGGCTTCCAACAACACGGGTAACCTCTAAATTCCCTACTCAGCCAGTCTTGATGGAAGCAGATGGTGCTCGGTGTCCTTGCTTGCTGGAGCAGGGTCTCTGTGTGCGGCGCTACCCTCACTTCCGAGGTTAGAACTCCAGCACGCTGGGCCTGCCACTGTTGTTACATGTGCACGTGTGTCTCAGAAGTCTTTGATCTCAGAGGAATTAGAGCTTGAAATGCCAGGGTTTGTAACTGAGTTGCTGTCCTTTAACTCTGGGCCTGAGTCTCAGTGCCCCAATTTCAAGAGGGGTTTTTAAGATGAGGACACAGAGCTTGGTGGGGGCAAAGCTGCTCAAGGGTTGTGAGGCAGCCACCAGCTTCTAGGCTTGGGACGCTCCAGGGAGGCTCTACGATGCCGCTGTGGGCCCATTAACACCTGCATCTCCAGCACCTGGACCAGGGCAGGCAAAATGAGTGCCTGGGCCAAATCCAGCCTGCCACCTATTTTTATACAGCCTGTGAGCTAAGAATAGTTTTTATACTTTTAATTTTTTTTTTAAAGATGACCAGTAAGGGGATCTTAACCCTTGACTTGGTGTTGTCAGCACCACGCTCTCCCAAGTGAGCCACAGGCTGGCCCTATACGTTTTAATAATTAAAAACATCAAAGGAATAATATGTAGTGACATGTGAATTTAATTTCCATGTCCATTGGAATACAGTCCCTCTCAGTCATTTATGTTTTGTCGGTGGCTGCTTTTGGGCTACAACAGCAAAATTGAGTAGTTGTGATAGAGATCTTATGGCTCACAAAGCTTAAAATATTTATTACCTGGCCCTTTATGGAAAATGTTTGTTGGCTCCTGATCTAAACAATATCTGGAACATGTAATAAATAACAGCCAGACATTACACATACCAGCTCTTTAAAA